CTGGGCTTTGGGACTTTTATGCACTAGGATGTTAGTGAAGATGCACTGTTTTCTACATCCTATTTTTTTCCTCTGCTTTGATTTCCTTACTTAACATGCGGCATGATATCTGGTAGTAACTTATTTAGAAAAGACATATGCGTAGTAAATCTTATTGAGACTTGGTATTTCTAAAATGAGTTTAATCTCTTTTCTCACGTCAGTGGTTGTTTGCTGGTTTAAAATTCCTTTATTTATATATTTCTTCGGATGTGTTCAGACCCCTGTACCAGGCTACCACTCTGTCCCATGAGATTGTTAATTCAGGTTCCAATTTATGTCCCAGGTCTTTATTTCCAACTTTTCTGGGAAGTTGTCTGGAATAAAGTTGGCCCATGTCCAGACTTGACCTGTCGTTGTTCAGAACCTATATTAGAGAAAGCAAAACATGGAAATATATATAGTCAACCTGTCTTTCAGCTACCAGCCCACAATTGACTCACAACAAAAAATTCGGGTTTAAATGGGGTGTCTGTAACTTTGCCACAGTGTGCACACATCCCAGATATTGTACCTGGGAGTTTCTGGTGAATGCTTTTTCTTTCCTATTTCTTGGAATACTAAAATGCATTCGCAAAAGAGAAGCTTTGTGTTGACTTACAGTCGACTATTGTGTGGGATCAAATTATGTTATTTCTGTAGAATTTACAGACTGAAGGTTGGACTTGTTTTAAGTATAACATAATTAAGGTAATACTCTCTATTTCTGCTTAGGATACTCATTTATAAAATCACTTCTTATTTTTAAAGAGAATATAGGCTGTTCTAGATGTGTTGGTGGATAAAATGAAATGCTGATATAGGTAAGAGCTATTTACTTGAAAAGTGCTTCAGTCCTCTGCTTAGGGAGGGAATATTTCCATTGGTATTGTGTATTCCATATAGATTACTCGATAATGTTGTCCTCAATATGGGCAGAATCCAGGTATGGTGGAGCTAGTTTTTTAAAAAAGGAATGTAAAAAGAAGGGTCAGTTCTTCTGTCTTTCAAAGATGTCTTTGACATCCATTGATCAACTGCTATAGCAAAGTCTGCAAGGAAAACCACAGAAATATTTGAGGAGTGTCTGTATGCTTTTTGTAAGGGTATTAACAGTTCAAGAACACTTAAGACTTCTGTTCAAATTTCCTGGACAGGAAGAAAAGTGATTGGTTAAATATAATTGCAGCTCAGGATATGTGTAAAAGTACCACTGAGAGAAAAGGTTGGAATTATTATTTGGGAACATGTTTTAGGAGTCCCTTGGCAGAGGGTTTAAACCAAAACTAGAAATTAGTAAGGAGTTATTAAAGACCTTTGAGCATAAGAGTTGTGAAGTGAAAATGAGATTAACCTGTCATATATCTAGGATGAAATGTAGCACGGAGATTAAAGGAGAATGGAAATTAGTTCAAAATAATTGCTGCAGTCTCTAAATAAAAGAGTTGACAGTTAAACATGAAGGTATATGTGGAAAAACACTGTAAAGAAATAATCCTTAAGACTTAGCAAATAATTAGCTATATGAAATGTGGACTTAGAACTCAACAAGAAATTTCTCAGAATTTCAACCTAGATGACAAAGAAAATGGTGAGGACAGAGTAGAGAAAATTCAGGTATAAAATATAATGTTCAGAAAAAGTGAAGTTTCAGTATCACTTTCTGTTTTTGTTTTTGTTTTTTGAGACAGAGTCTCACTCTGTCACCCTGATTGAAGTGCAATAGCATGATCTTGACTCACTGCAACCTCCACCTTCTGGGTTCAAGGAGAGTAGCTGGAACTACAGGCCTGTGCCACCACGCCCGAAAATTTTTTGTATTTTTACTAGAAACAGGGTTTTGTCATGTTGGTCAGGCTGGTCTCGAACTCTTGACTTAAAGTGATCTGCCTGCCACGACCTCCCAAAGTGCTGGGCTTACAGGCTAAGCCACTGCGTCCAGCCTGAAGTTTCACTTTCACTTTTGAAATGAAATTATCATTTCACTTAGGATACATTGCAATTAATATGTTAACACTAAAAAGCTTTCAAGCAGTTTATTGGATATAAGCAGTTTATTGGAAAATCTTCAATCCAAGACACATTCCTGATTTAGAAATCAATAAGTAATATTTTATTTTATTTTATATTATTTTATTTTATTTGAGACAGGGTCTAGCCCTCTCACCCAGGTGGGAGTGCAGTGGTAGGATCATGGCTCATTGCAGCCTCGTCATCCTGGGCTCAAGCAATCCTAGTTTTTAATTTTTTGTTTTGTTTTGTTTTGTAGAGACAAGGTTTCACTATGTTGCCAGGTTGGTCTCAAATTCCTGGGCTCAAGCGATTCATCCTACTTTGAGCTCCCGAAGTACTGGAATTACAGGCATGAGCTATTGGGCCTGGTCTGTAAGTAATTTTAAATTACACTAATTGATAAATTAAAAATATAAATCTGTATAGTTAGCATAAATACAAGCATAAGGAAAAGAACTAAAAATGGGTTTAGGTGATAAATTAAGCAATTTTGGAATGTATACCATTAATAGTTAAAAGTCATTTATATTATTGTATGCAAGTAACATGCAACATGAAAATAAAAGGAGCTTTATTTACAATGGTGAATAGAATTGGTTTGAGATTAATTTAACTTAAGCAAGGCTATTTATGCAAAACCAATTATAAAACACTAATGAAAAAATTAAGAAAGATAAAGACATGAATAATTATAAGGTTTTGATCCTTGCTGGGAAGACTAAATATAGTAAGGTTGACAGCACCCCTAAGTTAACATATAGACAAGTTGTTTCTACTCAACATTCTTGTGATATATTTCATAAAACTTGAATCAAGGAAAGGAAACTCCTGCTGGAAATGCAAGCCAAAGTTCTTTTTTTTTTAAGGTATTGGCAGTAGACATGCCCTTCAAAATTTTTGAAGTATATTAAAAATTTAACTTCTCTAACATGTACAGTATTATATTTCAACAGAAAAGACAATAATCTGTTTTCCAAAAATTAATGTTTCAAAAAATTAATTCAAACTTTTATACTAAACTTAAGCGAAGAGATAAAATCGTTTCAAAAAATTAATTCAAACTTTTATGCTAAGCTTAAGTGAAGAGATAAAATCAGCAATGAGAAAGTGTTTCATTAAGCAAATATTAGTATAATTAAATATGAGAATGAGGACAATGTGAAATAGATCCAATACCACATGTCATAATGTATGCTGGATAAATACATGATATATATATATAAACAAAATAATCAAAAATCATTTTTATGACAAGGATAGATACAATATTTTAAATAAATCAGAAGGATGGCTATATATTATATTCTGGTATATGTATACAATAAAATATAATGAAAATAAATATTAAAAGCAAAGCAAATAAATCAGGAAAATATTTACAAACATAAGAGATTAGCAATTATCCAAATGCAAAGAGTGTATTAAGCTATGTTAATCTAATGGACCAATTATACTTGAAAAATAGAAAAAAAAAGTTCAATTGAAATGTATAGCTTATTCTTAGATATTTACATGTCTGTTTATACAAATATTTTGTAAGCTTTTTGAGTCAGAATTTATGACACACTAGTGTTTTTATCCCAAAACAATTAATAGAATGCCCAAAATATGCTAGTTGGGTTGAGTAAACAAAGTGGATTAGTTCAAAGTATAAAGGAAACTCATGTTCTCATTAACAAATAAAAAATAAAGAGCTAATAAAAATAATACTGCATAAGAACCAGTAATTGTCTTTCAACAATGGAATTACTCTCAGAAATTTAAGCAAATAAAGAATTGTTTGGATATTATATGGAGGGGCTCATATATTCAAAGGAAAAGCTACTGAAGTAGGCTTAGTAAAGTCCAAGAGTAATACAGCTCTGGGGATCTTGGTATTGAAACAAGTGTACATCCACCAGGATAAATCAGCTGGAGTCATTTTTAGTCTTGAGATCAATGTTTCATGTTTAGGGAAGAGCCTGTGGTAGGTTGGCCTACTCAAACCATGTGGATGTAGAGTAGGGAAATACTGATTTTACAAAACCTCTGACTATTACTAGAACAGTGAGAAAGATACGGAACAGCCCAAAGCAATAAGGTTATGTATAGATACTGTTATTCACCTATTTAAAATAATAAAGATAAATTGTATATAATTTAGGTATACTTATGTGTTGGCAGTAGCACTGTAAATCTCATCAATCTTTCAGGAGAGCCAATTTTTTATATGTAATATGTCCTAAAGAAAATTATTCACGTACAGTATTTCCCCAATAAAATACTCCTTGGGAAATGTGCTCCATGGAACTTGTCCCCTACTTCCTCTGTCCCTTATTTTATCAAAATATTCTGAGAAGTGATATTTATTACTTTGAATATGAAAAAAGTAATGGCCAATAAGACATGTCTAAGCAAATTGATTCTGCATAATATGAAATAGTAACTGTGAACAATGAAAGTCCCTCAAGAGAATGAGGCAGGAAAATGGGGTCCGGAGGCAGGGAACATAAGGAACATAAGGCCAATTCACACTTCAGCTATGACAGGAAATATCCTCTCTATAGGGTGTAAGCCAAGTAAATGACTTTGTAACTTTACTTCATCTTCTTCATTTACATAGGGCTTACTCCAAGTAACCAATGGAATCCTCTAGAGGGTATTTAAACTCCCCAAAATTCTTTAATGGGGCCCTTGAGTTCCTGTGCTGGGGCCAACTCCCACACTGTGGAGTGTACTTTCATTTTCGATAAATCCCTTCATTCCTTCCTTATCTTTGTGCATTTTATCCAATTCTTTCTTCAAGACACCAAGAACCTGGACATAGTTAAACCTTTTCAGAACATAACTTTCCAGGTTTTATGTTAAAATTAAAACTGCTAAGAGTCGCCTTTGTAACATGCAATTGTGACTACTAGAAACAGTTATATATGCAAGGTATGTACGAACAGTAAACTGTGGTTTTTTTTTTTTTTCTGTAAAAGGTTATAAAAGGATTTTGCTTCGTTAAAATTTCTGAGTCATCATTTTGGCAAAATATATAATTTATGGTAATCTGGAATTCCAAAATCAAACTTCAGTTTCAAAATTCTCTTTCCAAATGCCTCGCTTTTTGGATGGATCAGAGAGCCCTTGAAAACATCCAGAAAAGAGGTAAACAGAATTGTTTGACATTTTTAAGTACATGGGATTGCCAAACTGAAGTTGAGTCTTCTTTAGGTTATATTTTTGTGAATAATGCTAATATATGTTCCAAAATTGTATGGGATTTCTAAAATTCTAATGTCTAAGTATTGTTATTATGGTATTGTAAACCACAGGAATAACCAAATTTCCTTGTCAGTGCTATGCACTTATTTGGAAAAACAACTGGTATTCAAGAGCATAGAAGTCTAATGTTGATTAAGCATGGATTCATGGAGAATCAGGTGGCCATCTTGTCTTTCCTGAGTCCTTAAAGCTCTCATTATTAAAAGTTCTGCATTCCATGACTCACCATAGAAAAGATAAAATGATCCAGATTGAATACAATCTGTGTAGTGACTTCCAAATTACTAAAATAGTTTATTATCAGTGTTTGGTCCCATATACCTGGGAAAACAATTAAAGCTTCAGGTACATTTGGTCATCTGATGGGCCATTTAAACCTTTTTAAAAGGGATTTCATTCAATTGTTATTTTCCATGCATGTTTTCTGGTTGAATAGAAGTTTTCCCATGCAAGAATGCTGATGTTGTAACAGTAGATTATTAAGCAACGGTGTATTTTAACCAGGTGAAAAAGCTTCTTATGGTTTGGATCTTCTGAAAACATCAGTGAAAGACTGTCCTTGCCATCCAGACTACAACAAAAACTTTGGGACCTTGAACTTTGGGTTTATAATCACATAAATGAGAAGGGTCCCTCTACATTCTCAGAACTGTACACTCATTGGAACCCTTAATGTAGTACTAACCAGGGAAATTTCTTCAAAGAAGAAGATGGAATCCTTAATGTGAATAGCTTTTTCCAAGTTGACAGATGAAGACTTCTATCATGAAACTCTTATCTTTGAGTATTTTCTCTTGCTTATGCCTCTATAAACAATACAAGTGGAAAAGGGGTCTGTTATGTGCACTTATGGGATGTACTTTTATTTGTGAAGGAGTTACAGCCAGCCTTATACATGGATAAACTTATACTTGATAGATTAAAGATGAAGGCCCAATGTAGGTAAGAAACTTTAATGGTAGGTATGTTGCTTCATAATCAGTCAAAAACAAACACTGGTTGACTCCTCTTAACCCACATCATGGGTTAAAGAGAACATTGCCAGAAGGCCTTCACTCTTCTAAAAGGGATCATTTGTTAGTTCCTTTTTCCATGGTTTAAAGTAAAAGAGGCAATGATTAGAAATGTATTTCCCATGATAACGTCTATAGCAAATTCTACTGTAAAGACTACAGTTACACAACAGATTTTAAATTATTTTGTGAAAGTTATAGTAGAATTGGCTAAACAAAGAAGTAGCTGTGCAGCCGCTAACACTTGTAGCCTATGGAAAAATTCATCAAATGAAGATTATAGAAATTCAGTGGTAGGGGATTAACAAAGAGACTGCTTAGTTAAGTGAGCAAACTCTTTATCTAGCTCATTCTTTGATCCATTTGATTTTAGGAGGTTTGGCTTGTGGGAAACTTGGGTAAGCAGCATACTCCAAATTCTTGGTATTATCCTCGCAGTAGTCATAACAATAATCTCCCTGGTGCACTGTATTTTCTCAAAGGTTTTAAATGCTTGCATGCGGCCATCTCTAGAATGTCATATGGTCTCTTTTCAACTGGAATGACAGGAGCTAAAAGAAATGTGCAACCATGAAGACACACTAACCTATGAATGATGTGTTGAGACAAGAAACCCAAAACGATGGTAACTGAGAATGGCACTAAGGCCCTAAGTTTTGGTCACACTCTCACCTGAGTGAGAACCTGACCAAAACGGGGGAGTTTTTTTTTTCTAAACAAAATTCTGAGGGCCATTGTTTTGGACTAAGCTCATTCTCTAGGCCCCAACAGACCAAACCAAACCAAAATGGAGTTGCTTGTGCATTAAGGAAAGACATCGGTTCTAGAACAAATCAGGTTTTACTTTTTTCTCCTGCAAATTTTTGTAACAAACATTTTTGATAACATAGGTATCCACCCCATGAAGTTCCCAATAAATCTTTTAACCAAATTCATTTCCTCTTGCCTAGAGACCATCAAGCTTCACATAATCATGCAACAAAGGTTCCAGCCGGTTCCAAGTGAAGACACCAGCCCTGGCCATCAAGAAGCTACCTTGCCTCCACCAGACAGAGCAGGGCGAGAGTTCCATGATCCTCAGTAGGTAGGGACTACACCCCAAGCCAGCATGAAGCAGACACAGAAAAAAGACCATTGGTTTCTCTGCCTCCCATAAAGATTTATGGGGTCACATCTCTCAGAGGGGAGATGAGGCAGGAAAAGAGGGTCTGGAGGCAGGGAACATAAGGCCAATTCACACTTCAGCTATGACAGGAAATATCCTCTCCATAGGGTGTAGGCCAAGTAAGTAACTTTGTAACTTTACTTTATCCTCTTCATTTACATGGAATGTGCCCCAAGTAACCAATGGAATCCTCTAGCGGATATTTAAACTCCCTAAAATTATTTAACGGGGCCCTTGAGCCCCTATGCTCGGGCCCACTCCCACACTGTGGAGTGTACTTTCATTTTCGATAAATCTCTTTATTCCTTCCTTTGTGCATTTTGTCCAATTCTTTCTTCAAGACGCCAAGAACCTGGACACCCTCCAGTGGTGACAAGAAGAGACTACAGATTTCTTCCTCATGAAAATAAGAAAACAACCAGGAACTTTCTGAAATTTCTGTAATATGTGAAGCAGAGGGAGTCAAGTTGAAAGAAAAGGCCATTAATGCTGAAACACCTATGTTGTCATACTGGAAAAGGAAGGACTTTCAGAGAAATATGTAAATAATTTCCTCCCACTCTGTCCCAAGCCAAGGGAAGAAGTTTCTGAAAGTAAGAGCTTTGGGGAGGGAATTGTGTGAAAATTGGAAAGGGACAAAGAAGAATATTGGTGCGTCAAATGCACTTCAAAAGGTAAAGTGAGGAACTTAACATTACAGGTTCTTGATGTTGTTAGTATGAAAATGAAACGAGGAAAAATCTCTAACTAGTTTTGTTTTGATAAAACACTCAGGAGTGAAAATCACTAAGGTTTTAGTATAAGCTTTTAGTATAACCCTACTAAATCACTAAGCTTTTAGTATAACCCTACTTTCAACTTATAGCTCTTACCAAATGAAATCACTTCTAAGAAACCACAGCAGGGCCACAGAAGAACCTGGCCACCAGAAGGTCTAGCTGCAGCATTTTACCCCCAAGTTTGCTTATTCAGGAAATTCAATTCAATTCATTCATTGAATGGATTGAACTTTAATACTAAACCAGGCTCATTGCCACTTCCTGAGGATTGATCAGATGATCGTGAAAATCAATGAAATATTGATCTATACAATTGCTGAAGGAGTCCAATAAAAACAAATGTCAATATGACTCATTTGTTTTTATTTTTTAAATCAAGGGTGCATATAATAATTCCCTGAAAAGTTTTCTTAAAATACCCTGGATCATAGGCCTCTCTGGATTTCCTGATTCTGATTTGGGACATGCCAAGGTGTGTCAGGCAAGCACAGTTTTAGAAAATAAAAATCTCAGCATGTAATTATGAAGCATAACACATATTGAGAACTGCTGATGTAGATTATCACATGCAAGCATAAGTAGATTCAGTACAGAGGTTGATTCAGTACAGAGGTTGAGGTCCTCTGATTCAGTACAGAGGTTGAGGTCCCCAGGGAAAGGAAGTTGATGCCCAATGCAAAAGATTACATTAATAATTTGTCTTGGACAGCTCAGGCTACCATAACAGAATACCATAGACTGCATGACTTAGAAATTTATTTTCTCACAATTCTGGAGGCTTGTTCAACTCCAAAATTTGTTTCCTGGTGAGGACCTTCTTCCTGACTTGCAGACAGCCACCTTCTCACTTTGTCTTCAAGTGGCAGGTTGGGGAGGAGGAGACAGAAAGTGGTGAGAGAAAGTGACAAAGAGATCTTTATTTTTTAAAATAAATCTACTAATTACATCATGAAGACTCCACCCTCATGACCTTCTATGACATTAATTACTTCTAAATGACTCATCTTCAGATAGCATCATATTGGGGATTATGGCCTCACATATGAATTTGGGAGAGAGGGGGATATAATTAAGTTCATAGCATAGTTTAATTTGTATTATCAGTGTGATTCAAGATGTTGTTAAATTATCCAGAGTAGGCTGTAGTATAAAATGAACTATCAGAGTAACTTTTAGATAAAAACAGTGCAGAAAATTCTAGCACCATGCTTGAAAATGAATGCAATAGAGAAAAAGTTATAAAGAGAGAAAAACTATAGAAAAAAATTATCAATTTGGGAAAAAATAGGAAGAAGGAAAAAGCAAGAAAGCAATATGAATATAATATATTGAAAATGACAGAAAAACTAATATCAAACACACATGTAATTATAACAAATAAGTATAGGTTAAATAGAAGTGTGTTTTTTATTTAAAGAAACATACTGCATGAAAAGGATTTTAAAAAAGAGATAATCAAAGGTATAAAATTCATCTAACATAAGTAATTTGATGAGTGTTCAAATTTGGTTTACCGTTTTGTTTCTGCAAAATTTTAACAACAGAAGATAGATTAAATAATTAAGTAATTGGCCGGGCGCGGTGGCTCATGCCTGTAATCCCAGCACTTTGGGAGGCCGAGGCGGGCAGATCACAAGGTCAGGAGATCGAGACCACAGTGAAACCCCGTCTCTACAAAAAATACAAAAAACTAGCCGGGCGAGGTGGCGGGCGCCTGTAGTCCCAGCTACTCAGGAGGCTGAGGCAGGAGAATGGCGTGAACCCGGGAGGTGGAGCTTGCAGTGAGCCGAGATCCCGCCACTGCACTCCAGCCTGGGCGGCAGAGCGAGACTCCGTCTCAAAAAAAAAAAAAAAAGATTAAATAATTAAGTAATTAATAAGAGACTATTATACAGCTATAATTAAGGTCAGATTATAAATATGTGTATAAACATGAAAAGATATCCCTGGCATACTGATGAGTTAACAACTGACTATATAGCAGTAGTTATAATTGGCTTTCATGGAATAAAACTAAAAATAATGCTATTTGATTGATGCAGAATATGTGTAAAGACTTTTGATGTTCTCTTACATGCACATCTATTGAATTTTCATGTCATACATGTACTATTTCTTTTAGGATAAGTAAACACAAAAATATTTTTATCAATATGAAGAACTAATAAATTATGAAGAGTAAACATAGAACAGATGAATAAAATAAAAATCACCTATGATCCTTCCAGAACTACAGGCAGTAATAATATTTCACTGAACCATACTGTGTTAATCTCTGTGTTACCAGTGCCTAACACAGAGCCTGATATACAATACATGTGCAATACATATTTGTTAAATGGAACTGAACTAAGATCCTACCATGAACATTTATGTAAAATATCATGTTAATAAGGTTCTATATACTGCTTACAATATTTGTTGTGATTGCAATTATGTAGCCAAGTATAGATATGTATACACTGTTAATAAACACTGAAAGAGAATCAGGAGTAATGGGAATATTTGGAATACTGTATTATTTTAATCAAAAAACATTTATACAGTTTTTGTCTGGTCCTATTCTATATGCTTACAGTAGTAATAAAGGCAGCCAGGTTCCTACCTTCCTGGATCCTGCAATCTAATAAAGAGACATAGGAGAAATAAAGAAATAATAAAGGAGATAATTACAGATTGGTGTAAATTCTATAACAAATAACCAAGGAGGGCCATTATAGGACACATGTGCTGGGAGAGAAATTTAAAGGAATAAGTACAAAGGCTTTACAATGATGGCACAGTCAAAGAAAATTCACTAGAATTAGCTATCAGTGCTCTAGGGGAGAAGAAAAGGAGCTGAAGTAAAAGAAATGGGAAGATAACAGGTAATCCAGGTATTTGTACTCACAATAAAATATTTGAATTTTGTTCAATATGTAATTAGAAACCACTGAAGGATTTAACACAGTGACGTAATTTGGTTTACATTTTGACCTTCTTAAAACATATACATTTTAATAAGATCATGCTGGCTCTTCTGTGAGTTTAAAAGATTTTGAGAGGTAGAAGCAAGGGTGGAAAATAAGAGATCAGTAAGGAAATTACAATAGTCCAAGTAAAGGATGATGTTTTTGATCAGATGGAAGCAATGGAGAAGGAAATACATGGACAAATTAGAGATGTATGTGAGAGAAGCTGGGCTTACACCTGTAATCCCAGCACACTGGGAGGCCCAGGTGGGTGGATCATGAGGTCAGGAGTTCGAGACCAGCCTGGCCAAGACGGTGAAACCTCGCCTCTACTAAAGTTAGCCAGATGTGGTAGTGCTCCTGTAATATGTAGCCATGACTCTCTACAAAAATTAGCCAGATGTGGTGGCGCGCCTGTAGTCTCAGCTACTCAGGAGGCTTAGGCTGGAGAATCGTTTGAACCTGGGGGGTGGAGTTGCAGTAAGCCGAAATGGCAACACTGCACTCCAGCCTGGGCGACCGAGTGAGACTCAGCCTCAAAAAAAAAAAAAAAAAAAAAAAAAAAAAGGATGTATGTGAGAGGTACCCAGGGTTATCTAACTGTTGGTTGTAGAAAATGAGGACAAGAAAGGAAATAAGCACATAGAAGAATTTACTGGAATATAAAGGCAGGGAAAGAAGAGCAAGTTTTACTAGATAAAAATCACAATTTATTTTAGAAATGTTGGATTTGTGATCCCAATTAGATATTCGAGTGGAATGCCAAGTAGACTATCTCGATTTCAGTGCTAGTGCCTGGCCTGTGGATATAAATTTGGGAACTATGACCACCTAAAGTCATGAGACTAGATGCTATGCTTTTTTTTTTTTTTTTTTTTCCCCTATGGGACAAAAACAAAACCAAAAACTCTAGCTAATACTTATACAGATATGTATATATTTGATAAAGTTAAAAACCAGATTTGATAATTTTATTCATTGGCTGTCATACATTGCTTTGCACATATTGGGCTAAAAATAGTTGTTTTATGATAATATGAATAAATTTTACTTTTATAGAGAAGACTTTTTAGGCATACTTATAGCATTTTAAAAATATATTACTCTATCACTGAACAATTCATAAACATGACTCTACAAATTATTTTTCTGACACTTATCTGAATAATCTAGTCCTTTTTTTTCCAATAAAATACATACCAAGGAACATCTGTGTAGGTTTGAAAGGCACAGGTAATACTTTTACCGTTATGGCAGACTCCTGCTTTGCACTCGGTAAAATCTACTCCTGAGAGCAAAGCCCTTAGATGTGTTCATCTGTAATTTCTCCCTTGTGATTTGGAGGCCATCTCCCAAGATGACTTCCCAATGGTCCCCTTCAGTTCTCTATTTGGTCGGCACCAAAACACCATCACAAATCACTTTCATATCTCCCTGTCACTTTACTCAGCAATTGGACACAAAATAGTTTTGTTGTTGTTATTGTTACTGAAAAATACACATCAGATTAATTCCTTGGTATAGAACCACTATGTTGCTGCAGGTTTATCTATTAATCTTTATTCTCTGAAAAACAATGACACATTTAGGTATTTCAGTTCTAACAATCTTCAGAAAAAGATTTATTTTTCTTTTGTGACAAAAAAATGTCAATATCTAATACAAAGTTAAAGCTTTGGAAAAATCTTTAGTGGAAATCTTTTGTGGCAAAATCTTTAGTACACAGGCTTATCATTTGTTTAAGCAATAATACCAAAACCTTTCCTGAGGCATAAATTTGCCCCATGTTTATGAAAATATGCCACGATTTATGAAGAACTTGAAACTAGCTTATCTCCAATATTTTGAGCCATCCTTTTCATTCTAGATTTGCAAACCAAAGCGTATATTACAAATCATGAATGTTCCAATATGCTTCTACTCCATTCTTGAACATGCCAGAGCTTTAGTTCCAAAGAGGAATATTTTCTTTTATTTTTATTTAATAGAAGAGAAGGGAATCTTGTGACTGACGTATTTATTACTACAGCAAATTTGGCAAAACGTTTTTCTTAGAGGAAGATTTAAACATTCATGAATGTAACTTTGGTTATGAAGTTAAATTTTTGCTCTGTGTTGAAAATAATGTTGGCATAAATATAAATCAGATTATCATCGAAAAACTTTCTAAATTATTCATATATGAGTATTTTAAATAATAAAATATTGTTATGGTTAAGCTTCAATTGATATACAAGTTTATCCATTACATTAGATTTAACTATTAATGGGCAAGAATACATTATTCAATGATAAGTAATGAAGAATAAGCTATTAAACTGTAAAAAGTATAGTACTTTATAATTTATTTTTTGAAATTAAAAAAAATTGTGCTCCTAACTAGTCCGACACTGAATGATTTTTTCGCCCTCTACAGTGCTCAGTGTGCCTGCTGCCTGTGTTAGTGATGTGGTTTATCCTGCAGAGTCCCTTATTGAAAAGACCTTGAGTGTCTATAGCTCTATTACATTTTTGCTCTCTGATGGCATAACCATCAATAACTACAACCCACTGATTTTATCACCTTTTTGCTTCCCTCTTAAGCCAGCTTAAATTCCATGGCCAGTTACTATAATGTCTTCCTTTCCTATAATTTCAACTCCCTTGTCTTGCTCTTGCCCTTGTCTTTGCCACATTGACTTGGCAAAATACAAGCTCTGGTTTTACCTACAACCCCTAAACTGAAAGTAAAAACAACAGCAAAAATAAACACACTACAATGTGGCTTGCTTTTACTTTAAATTCGAAGGCAATAACCTCAAGGAAGCTCTTAAGGCTGCCCAGCAATCACACTCCATTGCACTGGTACAATACTCTCCTGTCGTCATAGACAATAGCTGGTAGTCTTTCCTTAAACTACTCACAATTTTTCCCATCCTATTTTCTGAGAATATAGAGGCAGTCAGAAGAGAGTATTCTAAACTCTTACCCTCATAGCTACCAAACAACTAGCATCTGTACCCTTTCCTTCCTTTACAATAGATTAATTATTGTTGCCAAAAATAAAAACCATATCCTCCACTATGCCCTTTCACCCAGTCAAGGACATTGTTCAGCAGCCTTCTGCTTCTGGACTATTGCTTACTTCCCTTCTTTACTGGATCATTCCCATCAGCATTCACATGTCTTACAATTTCTCCCAATTAAAAAAACAAAAATAAAAATGATTTTCCATTTAACTACACATAGAGAGTATGTTTTTGCTCCTATTGATAACAATAGGAAAAAGTGGTCTATATTTACTTTCTTAACCTTTTCTGTTCCTTTTCAAACTTATACCAGCCAGGCTTTCATCCTCA